AGCCTGTGGCCAGACTCTCGAGCCTCTCTCGAGTAATTATTGGAAAAAGAGTCTATTGATTGGTTTGTTGTTCCGAGCCTGTGGCCAGACTCACGAGCCACCCTCGAGTAATTATTGGAAAAATAGCCTATTGATTGGTTTGTTGTTCCGACCCTGTGGCCAGGCTCTTGAGCCACTCTCGAGTAATTATTGGAAAAGACTCAAAAGAGCCTATTGATTGGTTCTCTGTTCCAAGCCTAAGGCCAGACTCTCAAGCTTCTCTCGAGTAATTATTGGAGAAAAAAGCCTATTGATTGCTTTGCTGTTCCGAGCCAATGGTTAGGCTTTCGAGCCACTCTCGAGTAATTATTGGAAAAGAGTTATTGACTGGTTTGTTGTTCTGAGCCTGGCCAAATTGATCCCAGATCTAGGAAACAACAAATATCCGGTTGAATCCTAATTCACTTCTCTTCCTCTCGGGACACGAAGAATGGTGTCTAACAACAGACTTCAAAAGGAAGCGTGACAAACGGGCAGAAACACCCATCAACCCCCTGTTCGCTGAGGACCTCGGAAGCGGGCGCAGCGAGTGACAGGCGTTGTTGCCCTTGGCTTCAGCGAACGATGGACGACCCCTCCTCGGGTTTCCTCACAACTTTGGCGCCGTTGCCGGGGAGGGGAGCAGCACCCCCAAGGCCGCGACCTTTCCCAACCAACAGGGGTGCACGGGCTGATTAGTCAAACACTAATTAGCGACTAATCAGCTTGTTTTCTTGATTAGTTTTATTTTTTATAATCATTTTATTTAGTTTTTTTTTAAATATCTTCCGATCCGCGCGCTTTCGTGCGAGGCAAACGTTTTGAGATGTTTTTTCAAAAATTCTAACGGTTAGAAAAAAAAGATATGAATTTTTTTGTATTTTTCTAATTAAAAATCTAAAAAATTATGGATTAAAATTTCTAATTGGTTTTTCTTCGATATTTCCTGATCCGCGCGCTTTTGTGCGAGGCGCACCGCGAGCAAAGTTTGTCCTCTCGTCGAGGCGAACGTTTTGAGATATTTTTTGAGAAATTCGAACAGCTAAAAAGCGAGATATGGAATTTTTTGTATTTTTTTATTAAAAATTTCAAAAATTTTGATTTTTGTTTTATTGAAATGGTCGGGAAAATAAGCGAAATTAGGGGAACCCCGCCGGACTAAAGCTGGTCCCTGTATTTTTCCCGATATTTTGAGATCCTAGTCGGGAAAAACGGACTTCGTTTGGACAAACGGCGAGCTCCAACAGATAGAAAAGGTGGAAAAAAATCAACGGGAAATTGAATTTCTTTGTAATTTTGTTTAAATTAAAAGAAAAAGGAATTTAAAAATGTAATCCAATAAGTTTTTCTTCTAAAACTAGTGAAAGTTAACAAAAATTTTCTCGCGTCAAGCAGGGCTTTGCGGTGTTCGTGCGGTTGCGCGCAAAACCCAAAACCCTAATTAGGGGAAACCCTGATTAGGGTAAAGTCCTAACCCCAATTTTGAGAGAGGCGGGTAGATAGAGGGAAGGCATAGCTTCTAGCTTCCGCATTTGTTACGAATTATTTTTTGTCAAATATATCCCGTAAGATTGTGGAAATTAATTCGGGAAGTTTTGCCCCATTAAATAATTAAAAATTATTTTACTTTTGATTTTGTTATTTAAAATCGATAAAAAATTTGAAATAAATATTAAAAATTGCGTAGGGGCATTTGTTTGACTTCAGTGCTCTTCATATCTACTTTACCTATTTGAGGGACTTTTTCCCGAACCCCATCTCACCGGGGGGGAAGGAAAACTACTGTCGAAATTTCTCCAAATTTTCCGTTTAATTTAATTTTTTGCTAATTAATTAACAAAAATATTTAAAAATCGAGTTAAATCAATTTTTCTTTTTTTTCATTATTCCTTTTGATATTCCCTCTTCGGCAGCGCTGTTTGAGGGCTTCGCCCGAACCCCATCCCAACGGGGGGAGGCGAAACGCTGCCGAAATTTTAGTAAATTCCCCAAATTTTATTTCTACCCCTAAAAATCATCCAACTCGGCGGGCTTATATATATATTGATCCTTGATATATATAAACTAAGAAAGAAATTTTATCTTAACTAAATACATTTTCTTTAATTTATAATTGGAAAATACAAAAGAACTCCCTAGAAGAAGAAGAGAAAGAGACACTGCGGTAACCTGATTTCGGGTCAGTCTACTAACTTGCTCCTGAAGGCGTGAGGCAAGCGACGAAAATTTTCAGTTATTAATCTACAACTCCCTCTTGCTGCGTTCTCTCTAGCCGGCAGTTCAATGTGGCCGCGGGTGCAAGTAGAGGTCTATGGGGCTACCATTGACTGGGACTTGGAGCCCCCTGAACTCATAGAGGGGGATCTAGTCGAGCTCACGATCCCCAGGCGCAACATTCGACACGTTGACGGCCTGTTTGCGTGGAGGTCCATAATCTTGTCCGAGGACGTGTGGCTTTGGACGTACAGAGAGTACCGGTCCGGGCAAGGAGTGGGCGTAGTGAGAGCCTACTTGTATTTGGGACCGGGTGCGGTCAGGGAGGCCGTGGTGGACCTCGTGACGATAGGGACTAGTGACACAGTTAGCAGGGCGTTACGCTACCTAGGGGACGAGGTAGCTGCCTTCCGAGCGGGGGACTCGAGCAAACCGTTGACCCTATTTCGAGGACGCCCTCCTCTTGATATCACGGGCGAGTTGGTGGTAGCACGGGACGGGTTTTTTCCGTACAGCGTTAGGAGTCTGCGGGCGATAGTTCCGACGTTCGTAGTAGAGGGCGACTTTGGATGGCAGTAGGAGGGCCTTTAGCGGGCTAATCGATTCAGGACAAGGCTAGGAGAACTAGCAAGGGGGACGGAGATAGACGCTCGGAGACTCTTGAGGGATGTTGATCGGGAGACATTGGCTAGGTTTGGGACTGCGATCTGTCTCAAGGATAGAGGTCCCGTCACGGGTGTACTGCAAATCCGGAGAGGCACGGCCTTGTTGGCCAATCCCGAAGGAGAGGTTTACTTAGACACAAGGATTCTTGGGGTAGAGGGAGAACACGAGATCTGCGACTGGTACGGGATACTGGAAGTGGTAATCAAGGCAGTCGAGAGCTAAGATTGGAGGCGGACGCGAGCCGCAACTGTCACAGGTCCGGGATGCAGCGACTGTCATAAGTTCGGGCTGTAACAGTTGGCTAGAATACCTAACTGCATCTTGTGGCGGTCCAATGGAACCCGACATGATGGGGCCACAACCGACCACGGGAGAAGCGAGAAAGGGGTACAGGACATCGCCCGATCGAGCTCTCAGGGATCTGAAGGAACGAATTAGGCAAGAAGCACCGCTGAGATGGGTTGACCAAACCGATGACGGAGGGCCCGGCGTAAGGAATGAACAAGTTGCGACAGAGCCGCAGGAGGCTCTAAAGACGGGTACCTCGAGCGGACGACGAGAAGCGACGAGGCGACGCTCCCCCGAGTACGAGCGGAGGGACACCATAGCGAACAGRYACAGAGACGACTGGAGAGAGARTYYGAGGGATTCCTATTGGAGGGACAGAGATAGAGACAGGGCGCCGCCCAGGCGAGTCTTCGACCCCCAGACAGGGGAGTCACATCCGCTCCCTTACGAGAGCAAGGATCGCTATATTATTACGCACAAGGTCTGAGAGCCTCCTACCTTCAGGGGCTATGGTATCACAGAATATCTGGAGAAGTGGGAGATTCACGCCAACCGAAGTCAGTGATCAAAGGAAGAGATTATAGAGAACTTCCTTACAAATTGGAGGATAACAAGTATTTCATCAAGGACCTTGAAACAATGACTCAAGATGAAGATAAGAACGTACGGGCATTTGGGATGCGTTTCTAGAAGATCTCTGACGTGCTGATGAAGAAGGGGAAGATCTCAGAGGTCGAGCGATGTACTATCTTCATCGGACACTTGTCCAAAGGTAGGCAAAAGAGTATACTTAGAGATCTTTCGCGCGACAGGCTTGATTTCTCAGAATGAGGTCGTGGCTGAGGAAGTGAAGGAGATACGGGACATGGTGAAGGGATTGACGAGACAGGTTACAGAGATTGTGACCAGTACATGGGCCACGGCCTACCAGGACAAACCAAGAGGGCCCTATTCACTTCGCTGGGACCGTAGGAAAAACGATTCCTGGAGGAGTGTCGAGGATAGAAATCCTCGGACGCTGACTGATTATTGTACGAGGGGAAGAGAGAGAGACGATGGGCCATGGCGACGTAGGGATGATGAGATAGACCGAGACCGCAGAGATCGCGAGCCGTTTGCGCGAGCAAGGAGGCTGGATGATTACCCGCGAAGCCCTCGCTATGAGGCCGATCGGGGTAGAGGCGACTCCCGCGGCCGATGGGAGACAGATCAGGGCCGACGAGATGGATATAGGGACGACAGATACGAGAAATCGAACCGAGATGGCTATAGGGACGACAGATACGAGAGATCGGACCGAGACGGATATAGGGACGACAGATACGAGAGATCGAGTCGAGATGGCTACAGAGGTGGTCGGTATGAAAGAGGAGATCGGGACTGGGAACGACGAGATGGGTCGCGTGGACGGTTTGAGCGCGGGGGAGATGCGAGAGAGCAGCGCGACGAGTCGCGCGGGTGGTACAACTGAGGAAACCGACGCGATGAGTCACGAGGGCGATATGACTCGGGGGACCGCCAGAATGATTCGCAAGGGTGGTATGAGCAAGGAGGGTCTGGAGGAGACCGCCGCAACGATTCGCGCGGTCGAAATAAGAGAGGGGGATACGGCGTCTCATCAGAACCATATCCCAAGTCGCCTGACCCCAAGGCAGTCAGGAGTTCGATCTCTAGAAGCGCAGATGAAAGGCCATCTACTCCTAGGAACTCATGCGTCTACTGTAGAGGAGAAGATCATATCAAGAGGGATTGCGCGGACCTCAAACGGGCAATAGATGAGGGACTTGTCGTGCTTGACGACCGCAAGTACGTCAAGTGGGCAGATGGTCTGGGAGATGTATCGATGTTTCCTTCGATGAAGGAGAATGTCGAAGCAAGGAGAGTAACGCCGAGTAAAGAAAAGGAGCCCATCAGGAGTCAGAGCATCAAGATAACCTTTGAGGGGGATATGGCGACCACACCCATAAGGGTGGCAGCCACCAAGTCGGCGAGAGGGTCTACATCGAAGAAGACTAACACGGATTACATGATGGCGGAGAAGGACGGGCAGCGGGTCGATGGAGAGGAGGTTATCCTTTCGCCGCGAAAGCGGGGAGTGAAGAAGTTCCTAATGAAGAGTTCGCTGGACGAGATTGACAAGGTCGAGCCACTGAGGCGGGCCCTTCGGCAACCCATGCAGTGCTCTATACTGGAGTACCTGGCGGCATCGAAGCCGGCTCGTGATGAGTTACAGATGATCACGCGGAAGACTCGCATACCTCTATCGGAGGAGGGTCAGGGGCCCCCTAAGGCGGAAGCTTCTACAGTAGCAGTAACGGGGGTGACTGCCAGAGCGGATCGCATGGCGAAAATCCTTCTCGATGGAATGAAAGGTGTGCCTCCAGACAAGCTTTATATACCTGGTAGCGGGGCCGTGGAGACGATTATAAACGATGGAGCGATACTCGATTCTGTGATCGATAACGGCAGTGAGGCTGTCATCATAGACGAGGACCAGGCAGTACAGGTTGGCCCATACCTATTCGAGATAGAGACGGCTGATGGGAGAAAGCAACAGATCACTGGGGTTTGTCACAAGGCAGCCATAGAGCTCCAAGGGGTACGAGTGACCCTGCCTGTCTTTGCAGTCAAGAACTGCAGCTCCGACCTGCTCTTGGGTCGAACGTGGCTGAGCCACGTGCGGTGACGATAGAGCGACCTGATGGGAGCCAGACATTGTCCATTAGGAAGCCAGACGGGACGCGGGTAATGATTGAGACAGTGGAGCCTCAGGACCCGAGGAACAGAGCAGCTCTCGCTGTGGGTGCGAGACCCGGTGATCAGATTAAGTCGTTACCTATCTCCGGCCGCGCGGTGCGATTTCGCGAGAAGAAATATGGACCACTGCTCACAGAGGAAGAAGGTCGGATCGTGGAGGTGGAAGATTTAAAGAGTCGGCTAATAGTGGACGGCAACTCATACCCAAAGGAAAAAGATGAGGGCACGGCTCCCTATGGGTATGGGGGGCTACCCAAGCGACACAAGCGAGTAGCTCAAAAAGTTAAGCCAACGGCGGTGGGCCGCGAGCGATCTGCACTGGAAGGGATATCGGAAGAAGAGATCGCGAAAGAAATCAAAGAAAGAAAGAGAAAGGGGCCGCAACGCCTAACGGAAGAGAGGATAGCAGGGATGGACATCGGAGATGGGAATTTGACCCCACAGGAGCGAGAACGTGTGATAGAAATCCTGAAAACATGTGATAAGGCCATAGTCCTGAAAGAAAAGATACTTTCCCACGTTGCGAAGCCGTCTGATAGCGCTTATGCTAATCGATGGTTCTTCCTACGAAAGCCGAATGGCAAGATCCGATGGATCCAGGACCTTCADAAGGTCAACGCGGTGACGATACGAGATGTGGGCTCCATGCCACACGCCCATTTACTGGCAGAAGGCGCCGCAGGTAGGTCGATTTATTCGGTCTGTAATCTGTTCTCAGGTTATGATGAGGTACCGCTTGACCCTTGAGACAGACACCTCACGGCTATGCATACGCCATTGGGACTGATACAGATGATGGTTGTCCCTATGGGTTGGACTAATGGGGTAGCCGTTTTTCTGAGAGCCATGGTAGCCGTCCTCAAGGACTTCATCCCTGATAAGGTTGAAGTTTTTCTGGATGACTTTCCTATAAAAGGACCAGTAAACAAGGATAAGGCAGAGGTTGCACCTGGAGTTAGAAGATTCGTCGAGCAGCACCTAACGGATATTTGTGCGGTACTCGAGCAGCTGGACAATGCGAATCTAACAGTCAGCGGAACAAAGAGCCGATGGGTCGTCTCGACTATTAAGATCTTGGGTTTTATCTGTGATTCGAGGGGACGCCGAGCAGATCCGGCGAAGTTAGACAAACTCCTGAACTGACCGTCACCATTACATAGTCCAACCGAGGTCCGGCAGTTTCTGGGAGTGGTCGGTTACTGRCGAAYATTCATACGAGGGTATGCAGAGAAGGCTGAGCCATTGAGACTACTCCTTCGAAAAACTGAGAAATTCTACTGGGATTCCTCGCAGGAACTCGCTATGCAAGAGCTTAAAGATGAATTTAAGGAGGGATGACGCGTACTGGGCGTGCCGTTCTTTGATGATGAGGCTGGGAGACCCTTCATAGTAGCCACGGATGCTGGACCTTGTTCGGTAGGAGAGTTGCTGTCTCAGAAGGACGCTGAAGGGAAGGAAAGACCATTAAGATTTGAGAGTAGGACACTTAATACAGCAGAGCGAAACTACAGTCAATTCAAGAAGGAAGTATTAGCTGTTCTGCGGTGTCAAGACACGTTCATACATTATATCTATGGACGGCGGTTCATCTTGAGAGTGGATCCCACCGCGGTCGCCTCTGTCCTCCAGAAGGACTTTAGCCTGACAGACCCGACCATTGCACGATGGTTAATACGGATTCGACTGTATGATTACATTGTAGAGAGGATATCTGACACTAAAAATGTCGTAGCGGATGGGCTCTCTCGGATCCCTCTTGAGGGAGAGCGCCCCATAGTAGCTGGAGCCCTGACATTGGCGGAGCCGAGACGCGCCGAGAGATGTCTGGTTAACTTTTACGAGCGCAAGTACCGAACGATCGGGCTATACCTGACGGGAGAGGAGAGTCAAGATTTAGATATCCGGAGACAAGCAGCCCTGTACTGCCTTAGAGCGGGCAACCTTTTCCGAAGGCCAGTAGGGTCGGGGATGCCCTTACGAGTAGTCTGTGATCCTGAAGAGAGACAGACGATAGTAGCGAAGCTTCACGACGGGGTGGTCGGAAGACCTAGAGGAGTCAGAGAGACCTACGAAAAGGTACGCAGACTGTACTGATGGGAAGGACAGTATAAAGTCGTCGAGAGATATTGTATGACCTCCGAAGAATGTCAGAAGAGAGCTCTTGTGAAATACAAAGAGTCACTTCATCCATCCTATCCAACCCGACCAGGAGAGAAGGTATACATCGATCTGGTGAAGATGCCGAAAGGGGTAGGCAATATGAACTATGTTGTGAACATACGAGACGACTTCACGGGGTTCGTGGACGGTAGACCTATCAGGAGTAAGATGGCAAGGGAAGTGAAGAACTTCGTCCTAGAGTACTTATGTAGGTATGGTTGTGTCAGCAAGATAGTGATGGACAGAGGAGCGGAATTCCTGGTTGACGAGGTTCATAATGTATTCAAGAAAGCTGGGGCGAGAGTTTCGATAGCCACTGCCTACCACCCACAGTCGAACTCCCCAGTAGAGAGAGGGCACCAGACCCTGATAGCGTCGCTATCTAAGTGGTGCAAAGGCAAGGACAGTGATTGGCCACGATATTTTCGATACGCAATTTGGGCGGACAACGTCACGGTCCAGCTAGCAGCGGGATACCCTCCATATACCTTGTGGTTTGGGTGACATTATCCGCTTCCCATAGAGTTTCACGTCCACAGCTGGACAACCGTCGACTGGGCGGAGGAGATGTCCAGAGAGGAACTCATAGCTGCCCGAACAAGACAGATAGCCTACGGTTTGGAAGATAACCTTATGACAACGGCACATCGTCTGGCAGTGGAAAGAGACAAAGGTAAAGAAAGATGGGATAAGAACGTGAGAATCAGGAAGGAGAGGGTGAGTGTAGGAGATATGGTCCTTCTCTACGATGCAGTGCTGGAAAGAACTTGGACCGGAAAACTCGCCAATAGATGGATGGGACCTTACAGAGTGGTTGAGGCACTCGACTGGGGTGCATATATGATAGCAGAATTAGACGGATC